GAGCAACCAGACTCTGAGACTCCCGGTCCCTAAACTGCCAGCCCACTCCTGTCGGCGGAGCATTATTATTACTCAGACCACATAGTAAATGTACTACGGTCATCGCCGGCCCGGATGGCACCGTCCGCACTGCGGGCCATATTATACCGGCCCGGGCCATCGGCCCGGCCGGTGGCCGGGCCGGCCGCCGCCGCCCGGCCACCGTAGTACAGAGCAGTGGGCCCGCCCAGGCGGGAAGGAGGGGGATGAAACCGGCCGTTGAGAACATGGTGGTCTAGGCGAGCAGAAGCCGAAGAGGATGAGGGAGGAGATGCGAAAAATGGAAGACCATTGCCAGCTGAAGCAGGAGGAGAAGCAGGAGGAGGAGGAGGAGGAGGAGATTGGTCAGGAGGAGGGCAATGATGATGATGATGATGATGATGATGATGATGATGATGATGATGATCAGGAGGTGGAGGGTGAGGGTGAAAGTGAGGAAGATGAGGATGAGGAGACTATTCAAGGTTCAGATTTGAACAAACATTCATCACAGGAGGATGCAGACTTTGCAGATGACGTAGAGAAGCTTCTCTTGGAGAGCAGCGGGCAAGGACGATTTGCGGCCCCAGGGTTGGCACTTGAGACAACACCAGAGGTGCTTGCAAGCCAGAGAGGAGGGGAGGGAGAGGAAATCACCGACTCACTCGCCCCTTTCCATCGACACGATGGCACCCACGTCTCGTTGCTCTCGCATCGCCCGCCGCCCAACCACGAGGAGCTCAACAGAATCCTGGCAGAGAGCGACCCAGAGCTGATGGAGGTGATGAGGCGAGAGAAGACGATCACAGACCGTCAGAGGAGGTGGCTCAATCGCAAGCAGCTCGGACTCGCTGCATCCATTGCTGGTGCTCTGAATCCCAGCAAGGGGACTACGCTTCTATGCTCCTCGCCTCTCCCCTCGCTCCCGCCTCGCTTCAAGCCCATCTGGGTGCCGCTCTCTACCATGGTAGCAAGCATGGCGTCTTGTGAGTCTCCGCAGGCGCCACCGCGAGGAAGAGGGAGGGAGCTGACGCAGATGAAGCACTGCCTGGCGAAGATCCGGGAGTGCGAAAGAACGGCATTGAAGGCCATGCAGGAGGGAAGATCCGTGGCGGCGATCGACCCAGTGGAGGAGAACGTGAGGA